CAAAGTTGAGCAACTTCAGGAAAAGCAGTGAACCTTGGACTAACACCAGCTCCAGAGAATCACAGAGTTGTCCGTGTTGGAAAGGACTTTTCAGATCATCGAGTCCAACCATCAACCCAACACTGACAAAACCCATCACTAACCCATGTCCCTCAGCACCACGTCTGCCCGGCTTTTAAATCCCTCCAGGGATGGGGACTCCACCACTGCCCTGGGCAGCCTGGTCCAAGGGCTGATAACCCTTTTGGTGAAGAAGTTTTTCCTAATCTCCATCCTAAACCTCCCCTGGCGCAACTTGAGGCTGTTTCCTCTTGTCCTATTGCCTGTTCCTTGGGAGAAGAGCCTCTCTACAACCTCCTTGTGGCCTTTGAGGCTGTATATGTTAGCCAAATGGAAGTAGATGCAAAAGCACATTGGGATTCTTTCAACCACAAATCTACGTAACGACTATTATTTTAAATGTTGTAATGGAAGAGTCATGGCCAACTAATTATAGCTCAGAACATTTTGCTACTACGTCTACTCGAAAAGAAATACCATTTCTCAAAGTTCCCCAATTTTTGTAGCCTTCAGCAAAACACGTTTCTAACCTCTATTAGCAGAGTCTTTACTATTAAGCCATTTATATTATTTTTTGACTGAAACTCTAACCTTCTGACTGACGGGGTTATAGATGTAATGCGTTTCCTCGAGGGATTTTTCTCCTTAGAGAATCAGTCTGCAATCTTCTAGCTGTCTGAATTATAGCCCATGATTTAATGTCATCCATTTCCACATCCTCCAAAACATGAATGGAGGGAAATAGCGTTTCTACAGGTGACTCCACGTGGCTCCTCGCTGACAGAAGAGCTTATGACAGTGCAATATATTGTTCAGAAACCTTCATAGTTTCAAAACCAGCTAAAATCAGATGTTGCTTTGTCAGCATTGCCTAAAAACAGCCTGAGACTGGGAGATGACTGGGAATCTGGGAATACCACTTACAGACCCAGGTTCTAAGTGTCCTGGTTGAGACACTCATCTCCCCTTCCCCTCGGGCAGTAAATACATGATTTGTTGTAAGAATGGAGACAACACAAGCTCCCTGGTAAGTCCAAGTAAGGAATAGAGCCATGGCAGGTCCACAGAGAGGGGGCAGAACATCAGGGACACAGTGATGGGTCAGGCTTACATCAGGGCCTTGGCTCTTACCTCTATTAGGTGACACTATGGCACTAGGTGACACCATGACATTACAGCCAGGAACTGAGCCCTGATGTTTTCCAGGAAACAAGGCCAAAACCAAGCCTTTCTCCCAATGCACCCCCATGGGTTAGTGATTTTGTCAGTGTTGGGTTGATGGTTGGGCTAGATGATCTGAAAGGTCCCTTTCAACCTGGACAATTCTATGACTCTCTGAAGCTCCTGACACACCGCAGAGCCAGGTTGAACAGCTAAAAGCAGGGCAAGACTTGCAGGTAAGTCCCTGCCTTGAATTTTGTCAGACCCTTCAGCAATCGAGCAATGAAACAACCCAGAGCCAAATCTAACACTCAAGTCCAAGCGATCCACAGTCCAGCTTTCACCAAGCTGGAGGACCACCAAGTTTCCTCCCCTTGGAGGAAGGCCCACGGCCATGGAGAAGTCGTGGTAGAACATGCAGCAATGAAAGCTGAACTGCAGTAAATTACAGTTTACATTAATACGTGTTGTGAACTCTGGTAAAAAAGGAATAGAAGAAATGTAGCCTCTTCCACCATCTCTGTACTGAAAGTGGCCTTACCCAGTAGTGAGATGAGGCCAAAAGCTGGGAATCATGATTTACTTCTTCAGCCACCCCTATGTAGGACACCAACACCTTTACAGGAAGCTGTGCTGATGAAATCAGGCTGATGAAGATTTTTTTTACATTATAAAATGCTGCCAGGTAGACCTTTAATAATAATTTAGGGAATGAAACAAAAAGAAGTCTTTTGATTAAAGCTGTTATATATAGATGAGAAAGCTTAAATATTTATTCTCCAGCTCAATGAAAAAATGTTCTCCTACAACAAACACAAAGACATAGCGCACCAGTCACTCAGTCTCTGGCATTCTTTGGGAACATTTCCCAAAATTACTGATGTCGATGTCTGGCCAGTACAGTTATGTGTGTTTAAAGTATTTAAACTTAGAAAAGGAGCAGCATTTTTTGACTGAAATTTGTTATGGATGTTCTCATTTTAGCATGGGTGTTTAAAAACCAAGGATCCTGGATCTTGTCAGGATCCCTATGGGCGTGACAGGGAAAGGAAGAGAGGTCTGAGGATTTTGCCTGATTAAAATGTAGAGTGGTTTGCACTCTTAACACTCACTCTGAATCTTAAATTCCAGATAAGTATTCATAAATGCACTCACCACTGATCTGATAATGTTCTGACATTTAGAGGCCCAATTCTCCTTGGATCTCCAGGTAGGTCCTGGCCAAAAACTCTCTCTAAGCAACAAACAACACTCCCCCCCTCCCCATCAACAAAAAAAAACCTGGACCTGATGCCATTAGTTCAATATCACAGTGTTAAAGCAAACACAGGAGAGTGGATGCCACTCTGCACCTAAATTTTCAGGGTGCTGTCACACCTGCAGGCAACACTGGGAATATAAAGCAACATTCAACCCTTTTTTCAGTATATTCAAGTTTATTTTTCAATTTTGGAATAAAGCACCACTGCTTTGCAATTTTCTTTGCTTAGAGATTAACTCCACATCTCAGAGACATCCAGCTAACCAAAAAAGACCCATTCATGTAGAAGAGCTCAAATAATGCTCTGAATAACTCTTTCTTCAAAAATAAAAAACAACCTGCATTTCTCAGTATACATTTTTCAACGTCCTCTAGCTATCCAGACAGCAAAATCCAACACTGCATTGTGGACTAAAGGGAAAGTGTAACCATGTTGTTGTATAAAATAAATACCAGGGAACTTCAATCAGATCAAAAAAGAGACTAGAGCAAAGAAAATCCTTCCTCCAGCATAACTAGTCTGGGCAATTGCTGTCTATAAATTTGTTATCGAGAGAAAGAGCGTAAGGAGGTTTCCATAGAAAACAACAAACGCCATCCAGCCTCACAACAGTGAACACAACAAAATCAAATATAAGCTTGAAAAAGTGAAAGGGTTTAGAAAAATGTTAAGTCTTCAAATCTGGAGACTTGAGCCATGTCTGATGTGATGTAAAACCCGCGTCATAGCAGCTCCCCAAGGGCTGTCTGCCCAACTGATGCTGAGGTGTCTCAACTGGGGGCTGATCCAGCCTGACAGCTCCTGTGTCTCTTTACACATAATTAAAAATACCAGAAAAATCAAACAATGCAGAAATATTCCTGATGATCCACTGCAGGGACAGTTTAAAAAAAGAAAAAATCTTTTTTTCGTTTTTTTTTTTTTTATTAAACAGAGTGGCAGGATAAATCTAGTTGATATTCTTTTCATATTACAATTAAATTCCTGATCACGGAAAACAGACAAAACACATTCTTGTTGTTTTCCCTCAGAGTTTTCTGTAGCAGCCATTATTTAATGCCTTTGTTGAGCAGAACTGGGGTGGAACAGGGAAAGCAGGAGCTGACCTGCTGCTCCTTTGGGGCTCTGATCTGGGTGTCCAAGGGAGGAGGATTTGTCGCAGTCGCTGCCTCGCCACCTGCCCGGGGCGTTCGACCGCGTCCAACACAATGATGCTGGAAAAGCACTCACGAGGAAACACACAATAACTAACATTTGTACATTTACAGCATCTGCAAAAGGTGTGGGCAGGGCGATTTCTCTACCTTGTGTTTCCAGAGCAAGTCGAACCCATTAATTAAAACTCATGCTCTTGTCCTGCTTTAAAAAGGAAAAACAGCGGTGATTTATGGGCACTGACAGACGTAGGAACCAGGAGCTGGTTTTGCTCACTCCCTCCTCCCCTTAATTCATTTTTAAGCATCTGGGGCGGTTGATTTCTCAGATTCTGATCATACGAAGGGCTGCATGTCCTCAGCTTCTCCAAAGAAAGAAAAGGAAGCTTCTCCACTCAGGGTACGGTCTGTCAGGTCACCGTGGTTTCTCAGCACTGGCTGAATCATGTCTGAAGGAAATGGGTACCCAAACATCTCTGTGCCCAAGAGACTTGTAGAAGGTCCCACTCACAGAATCACAGAATGATGTGGGGTTGGAAGGGACCCCTGGAGATCATCTCCTCCAAGCCCCTGCCACAGCAGGGTCACCCACAGCAGGTCCCACAGGAACGTGTCCAGGTGGGTTTGGAATGTCTCCAGAGAAGGAGACTCCACCACCTCTCTGGGCAGCCTCTGCCAGGGCTCTGCCACCCTCACACCAAACAAGTTCCTCCTCATGTTGAGATGGAACTTCCCCTGTTCCAGTTTGTGCCCGTTCCCTCTTGTCCTGTCCCTGGGCACCACTGAGAAAAGCCTGGCCCCATCCTCCTGACACCCACCCTTGAAGGATTTATAGGTGTTGATCAGATCCCCCCTCAGCCTTCTCTTCTCCAGACTCAAAAGATCCAAGTCCCTCAGCCTTTCCTCAAGAGAAAGATGCTCCAGGCCCTTAATCATCTTTGTAGCCTCTGCTGTCCCCTCTCCAGCAGTTCCCTGTCCTTCTGGAACTGGGGAGCCCAGAACTGGACCCAGTGCTCCAGACAGGGCCTCAATGGGTCCCCTCTTATGAGTGGGCCCACTCATAAGACATTTCTTATCCAGCCATTATTCTGCTGACAACAAAAATTTTAAAATGAGAAAGCAGTACCTGGGGAACAGTGGAATATGCTGACAACAAAAATTTTAAGATGAGAAAGCAGTACCTGGGGAACAGTGGAATCTACTGCAACAAAAAAATTCTCTTTTTAACAACAAAGATGGGGAAATTGCCACAAATACCTTCTTTTAGGGGGAAGATAAACGTCTCTGTATTGCTGTACCATATAGTGATATATGCAAACAACAATATACACCAATACACCAATATGTTATTTTCTTCTTCTAGGTTCTTTAAAGAGGAGCCAGATTGCTAGCGTTTTGGGCTGAAATCTGGAGGTAAGAGACTAGAACGTATTTAACATCCAAGCTGGGAACAGGAAACTGTTACAGAAGTGGAAAGGTTTGGATGCTGAACTTTCACCCAGGGCTTCTGGGAGATTTTAACTAATAAAGAACTCTACTAACCCAGACAGAGTGTATTGACAGTGCATCACCCACCCAGCAGAGCCATGTGCTGCCCTGGCAGACGTTATCAATAAAGATCAAAGCTTCCCATGAATTAATGAGCTGGGAGTTGTGTGATTCAGACCATGGTGCACACCTATATTGACCTCTCCGGAGTGGAGGGTTGGACCAGATGAACTCGGGAGCTCCCTTTACAATCGATTATTTTACGATTCTCTACCACACTTGATGAAACATAAGACAAACTTATTTGCTCAAACTGTGTGATTCATAGTCTGAGCAGCAGAAAGCATGCTAAGAACAAGGATACTACCAGCTAAACCACCTCATGATCACTAGTGGCCAGGAGGAAACAGAAAGTAACCAGTATGGTCTACAGAATCGGTGGAACAACCCCAACGTATAAATAGACCTTCTTTCTGCCAGTGATCCAAAAAGGCCTCACTAAAAAACAACTATAGCTAAGAACATGTATGTAGACACAAATGGGCACATGATAACAGACTGCAGAATCTAAGATCCTAAGATCCCTTAGCTAACGACAACGTGGTAATTCTCCAGAAATCTGTACGTATCTGAATACACCACTTCTTACAGTCCAACACCTCAGCACTTCCCAGAATCATGCGATCATAGAATGATATGGGGTTGGAAAGGACCTCTGGAGATCATCTCCTCCAACCCCCTGCCACAGCAGAGGGCCAGGGTCCCACAGGAACGTGTCCAGGTGGGTTTGGAATGTCTCCAGAGAAGGAGACTCCACCACCTCTCTGGGCAGCCTCTGCCAGGGCTCTGCCACCCTCACACCAAACAAGTTCCTCCTCATGTTGAGATGGAACTTCCCATGTTCCAGTTTGTGCCCGTTCCCTCTTGTCCTGTCCCTGGGCACCACTGAGAAAAGCCTGGCCCCATCCTCCTGACACCCACCCTTGAAGTATTATGGCATTTTGAAGGTCCCTTCCAACTCCTACAATTCTGTAGCAATTTCATGACATTTTGAAGGCCCCTTCCAACTCCTACAATTCTGTGATTTTCAATTTATGGCAACACGAGCACAACTCAGCTCACCCAGTGGTTGGCAACTGGAATTTCAGCCCATGTAGCCAGGGACTGGCAAGACCACAGACCTCTTTCAGCACAACTCAACTCACCCAGTGGTTGGCAACTAGAATTTCAGCCCATGCACCCAGGGACTGGCAAGACCACAGACCTCTTTCAGACAGTTACTGCCTATTTCCAGCTATGGATCAAAATCACTCCCTTTGTCAGCTTGTCTTTACCACTGTTACTGATCAGGCTCTCCACAAACAGCGAAATGACAGAATTCATACTGATAAATACATAAAAAGTCTTGAAAACCTTTTCTGAATTCCAGATGGATAGAATAACTAACCTCACCAGGATTTTATTTCTTCTATTTCTTATTCTTTCATAAAGAAAACTGACTGTTCATTTCTCTTCCTCCTCAATTCCCCCAGTAAATCAAGACAGCTCTAGTTACATACATTTTTACTTCTCCTCATCCCTACAGAGACTCGGGGAGAAGTGTGAAGTGTTGCAGTTGAAAGATTATTTCTTCACTCCAAGCGTTTGTAGAAGCAGTTTAGGATTTTCAAATTCAGCTTTGATTTCACAAAACATCTCCATTTCATGACCTTGCAACAGAATCCTAAAGGCTTTGATTCCACTCCAAGGATGGTCAATCACAGTTTTACCACCAACATGCAGTAGATGTATATTTTATAAAGTATTCCTCATACACAAGTTTGCCTTGTGCAAAGAGCACATTAATATAATCATAAGTAAACAATTATAGTGAAACACATCACAAGACACACAAAGAACACATGGAAATAAGAGGTTTGTCCCACTGAAATTTGAATTGAGATGAAGAGTAGAACTGATCCAAAAGACCCCAAAAAAGCCATTGGATGACAGAGTCTGCAGCAGAGAAAGTATTTGAACAATACCACAATAGCACACATGGGGTAAGGCGAAGGTTGTTCAAGAAGGGAAGGAAACTGTGAGGGAAATACAAATCTCAGGGTATAAATAAAAACCCCTGTTGGTAGCTGAACATTTTCTGAAACTGTTGGGGACAGCAAGGAGTTCTCATGATTTTGATCAACAAAGTAAGAAACTGTTGGGGATAGCATGGAGTTCTCATGATTTTGATCAACAAAGTAAAACAAGTAATGTCTATAACCAACTCATCTTCAGGTCAGATTGGAAGACCAAGTTATCATAGAATGGTTAGAGTTGGAAGGGACCTTAAAGACCCTGTATCCAGTGCCACCCCCTGCCCTGGGCAGGGACACCTCCCACCACACCAGGTGGCTCCAAGCCCCCTCCAACCTGGCCTTGAACCCCTCCAGGGATGGGGCAGCCACAGCTTCTCTGGCCAACCTGGGCCAGGCTCTCACCACCCTCACACCAAACAAGTTCTTCCCCACATCTCAGCTCCATCTCCCCTCTTGCAGGGTCAAACCCTTCCCCCTCCTCCTAGGGCTCCCCTCCCTCATCCAGAGTCCCTCCCCATCTCTCCTGGAGCCCCTTGAGGGACTGGAAGGGGCTCCAAGGTCTCCCCAAAACCTTCTCTCCTCCATGCTGAACCCCCCCCCAACTCTCTCAGTCAGTGAAGCTATGAATTCTGGAAAGAAAGAGTCCAACTCTCTCAGCCAGTGAAGCTATGAATTCTGGAAAGAAAAGAGTCAAACCCTGTATTGATTGAGTCAAACATATGTTAGTTCTCTTTGATCCTTATTGATTCAGTCAAACATATGTTAGTTCTCTTTGATCCTTAGGGTGAGGGAGACTCGTTTCTTACAAAAAGTGCTGGTTGGCTTCACACAACATTATACAACAGGGAAACTGCTTATGGTGCTTGAGAACCTCAGGGTGGGAGCACCTAATGGAGCAGGACGATAGATGGATCGGAGTGAAAACTGTCCAGCCTGCACAGAGGAAGCAGCATCCCATGCATACTTTGAGCAGAGGACAAATACAACTTTAAAAAACCCCAAAACCCCAAAAGGGATTCAACAGCAGCACTAGAAGGTATATTTACGAGCAGAAATAACTGCTTGGTGTCCCAAAAGATTAATTTTGTCCTACACAAAACACACCTGGGGTCTGAAGTGCACCCAGAGTCTAGGCCAAAGCGGGCTGAGGGCATTGCATTTCGTTTTTTACTATATTACTTTCAAATAGCATGTTTTTCAGCAACTAAATGAAATGGAAAATGCAAACAGGAGCTTCCGAGAGCCTAATGATTTTGTTTAAATTCCAGGTTATTTTGGAATGTGAAAACTACTTGCTGCTTGGATCCATGACAACCATGTAGATGCCATTCACAATCCACACCAACATGGTAAGGCTTATTCCAAAGATTGGGACTCAGGTCACTTGTAGTTGTCTTGTGGGATAACTTGGAGGGACGGGGTGTGTAGGGATTCATGTTTCCATCTCAAAAAACCCAATATAAAAAGTATTAAACGACATAAATGAGCAGGATGTGGTGACATTCCTTGACTTACGAACACTGTTTTACACACCAGACAAATATTAAGTTTCCCAGAATATCTCTAAAGGGATGTTGCTAAGCAAAGACGATGGTAAAAAGTATTTAATTAAGATGTCTGAGTGTAATTTGCAGCACTAACAGCCATGTTCCAAACTATCACCAAGCAGAAGAAGAAAAAGCTGCAAATACAATGAAAAGGGGATATTTTTAACTCTAGTTTAAGTATAAATATAGAATGGTTTATGCCTGATTCTTTCTGACAGAGAAAATGAACTATTGGTTCAACTGAAAGCCAGCTCCTGCACATATTCTTCTGTTAAATATACAGCATTTGAGACGGAGCTTTTGGCACTCATTTTAACATTACAGGCAAATGGTTTTACTAATTCATTCCTTTTCCTTAAAGAAAAAAACACACCATCCTTTTGGGTCAAAAACCAGCCAGGAGCATCAGAGAAGTTCACCGGGAAATCAGTTATCACTCAACATGATATAATGGGTAAAAGCTTACAACTTACCCACAGCCGTGACTCCCACCAGCTCCCCAGTTTGGCATTTTCATTTTAGATTTCCAGGGAATTAGAGACCTGTATTTCCTAGAAGATTTGAAAGAAATAAATAGAACTCAATTATAAATGACAAGAAAACCCTACTACTGCAAGATTTAAGCAGACAAAAGCAATTTGCAGGAGATAAGAATGAAGTATAAGGTTTAGTTAAATAGGCTACATCTCTGGCATTTCTAAAATAAAATCTGCATCTTTTCAACATGTGGCAAGAGGCCACAGATTTTATTTTTCATTTTCCTTTCAGTGTACAATTTAATGTTTAGGCCACGGCTTACGCACAACAAGGACACCAAGAGAGAATCACACTGTAACATTAATTAGAGATTGGAACAAAAATTAAATTGAAGAATCTTCTCGGTAATTAATAACGACAGCTATATCAAATAAGAACAGAATTAAGGTAAAAAGAGACACAAGATGACCCCAGTAAAAGGTTGCCTAAAAATAGGAAGACACAGTGACTCATTCTTCATCAGCTTGATTATTTACTCCACCTAAAGTACTGACAGAACCTTTTAACAGATGCACAGAAACATTCACAACTCTTTACAACAGCATAATAAGATTGAATAGGGCTATAAATCTCCAAAGCACTGCACAAACATTAAGCCATGAGAAGGACATGAAATGGTAGTGACTTGCTGGAGGGCAGCAGAGCAACACAATGAATCAAGGGTTCCCAGGCCCTCCTTAGCTCTGAGTCACCTCAGATCTCTGGGCCACCTCAATTTGCATTTAGTTTTCAGTCATATTTCTGGCTTTTAATAGAAAATCTTCTAAATATCACCCATGGGTCAAACACTACCCATTGTTGGCTTCTTGACTTTGTAGGCCAAGTATCTATACAGCCAAGGGTACTTGCAAATCTGAAAGTCTATCCATAAGTTCTGAAAAGTGTAATTGCAAGGAATATCATAGAATCATAGAATGGTTTGGGTGGGAAGGGACCTTAAAGCCCACCCAGTGCCACCTCTGCCCTGGGCAGGGACACCTCCCACCACACCAGGTTGCTCCAAGCCCCCTCCAACCTGCCCTTGAACCCCTCCAGGGATGGGGCAGCCACAGCTTCTCTGGCCAACCTGGGCCAGGCTCTCACCACCCTCACACCAAACAAGTTCTTCCCCACAGCTCAGCTCCATCTCCCCTCTTGCAGGGTCAAACCCTTCCCCCTCCTCCTAGGGCTCCCCTCCCTCATCCAGAGTCCCTCCCCATCTCTCCTGGAGCCCCTTGAGGGACTGGAAGGGGCTCCAAGGTCTCCCTGGAGCCTTCTCTGCCAAGTATCTATACAGCCAAGGGTACTTGCAAATCTGAAAGTCTACCCATAAGTTCTGAAAAGTATAATTGCAAGGAATATCATAGAATCACAGAATGGTTTTGGTTGGAAGGGACCTTAAAGATCATCGAGTTCCAACCCCCTGCCCTGGGCAGGGACACCTCCCACCACACCAGGTTGCTCCAAGCCCCCTCCAACCTGCCCTTGAACCCCTCCAGGGATGGGGCAGCCACAGCTTCTCTGGCCAACCTGGGCCAGGCTCTCACCACCCTCACACCAAACAAGTTCTTCCCCACAGCTCAGCTCCATCTCCCCTCTTGCAGGGTCAAACCCTTCCCCCTCCTCCTCGGGCTCCCCTCCCTCATCCAGAGTCCCTCCCCATCTCTCCTGGAGCCCCTTGAGGGACTGGAAGGGGCTCCAAGGTCTCCCTGGAGCCTTCTCTCCTCCATGCTGAACCCCCCCAACTCTCTCAGCCGGTGAAGCTATGAATTCTGGAAAGAAAGAGTCAAACCCTGCCCTGAAATTGGCTTCATGTTTCATAGAATCATGGAATGGTTTGGGTGGAAGGGACCTTAAAGACCCTCTATCCAGTGCCACCCCCTGCCCTGGGCAGGGACACCTCCCACCACACCAGGTTGCTCCAAGCCCCCTCCAACCTGCCCTTCAACCCCTCCAGGGATGGGGCAGCCACAGCTTCTCTGGCCAACCTGGGCCAGGCTCTCACCACCCTCACACCAAACAAGTTCTTCCCCACATCTCAGCTCCATCTCCCCTCTTGCAGGGTCAAACCCTTCCCCCTCCTCCTAGGGCTCCCCTCCCTCATCCAGAGTCCCTCCCCAGTAGAGACACAAGGATAGTGCAGCAAAACCAGCAGCAACAGCAATGACCATGACATTGCCTTCTGCTGTCCCTTCCCAGCCCCATTCCCTGTGGATGCTGAATTCAGGAATGAGCTGCCTTGGCTTAGATCCCAGGAGAGTTTTGCTGAAAGGCATCTCAAGGCCAGTAAAAACCTCACTCTCTCACAAGAAAAGCCCTGCAGGTTTCAAGAATGGCACAAGCACAAGTCAACCTGGATTTGGGGCTTGTCATACAAGCTGCACCAAGACTTCTCCAGTTATGGTTACTCAAGCAGAGAGATATCAAGAATTAAAAACTTAAAGAATGGCCCAAAGTCTAAAAATCACAGCAAAATACATCCCCCATTTCACAGAAATGAGCTCAACTTGGTGATTAATATTCATTACAGCCATGTACACACACACAGGTCCACGGGGGCATATGCCCACATTCCACTCAGTATAAGAAACATAGAAAATATCAGTATTTTTAAAGGACACAAAGCATCTGCGTTGTTTCATTCTAATTCTGTCATTACCTCATGAATTTATTTGTCTCTCTGTAAATTCTTCACAGAAAACATTTTGCTGAATTTTCCATTTAGCCTGGAACACACGTATCTGAAAGAACAACAGCTTTCCCCATCCTTAGGATATTACTGCGATGCCAGAGACATTACTTAAGTTTCAAAGTTTGTGAAAATGTGAAGGAGAAATTTGTGACAAGCACAGACAGGGGCTCAGCCGGGGCAGGTGACCTTTAAAGGTCCCTTGCAACCCAATCAGCAATCTGGTCTAGTGGAAGAAGTCCCTGCTCGTGGCAGAGGGGTAGGACTAGGTGACCGTTAAAGGTCCCTTGCAACCCAAACTATTCTATGATCCAGTAAAGGTAAAGTTTTAGCTGATGCTTTAAACATCCTGGCTCCCAGCAAAGAAAAAAAAATCCGATAGTACTGCATATGTGAAAAAATTCTAATTCTATGGTTGCTGTTTAAAGTACAAACACTTCATATGAGTCCTAATTCGCTGTAGCACAGAATCACAGAATTGCTGAGGTTGGAAGTGATAGTACTGCATATGTGAAAAAATTGTAATTCTATGGTTGGTGTTTAAAGTACAAACACTTCACATGAGTCCTAATTCACTGTAGCATTGAATCACAGAATTGCTGAGCTTGGAAGGGACCTTTCAGATCATCAAGTCCAACCATCAACCCAACCCTGACAAACCCATCACTAACCCATGTCCCCCAGCACCACGTCTGCCCGGCTTTTAAATCCCTCCAGGGATGGGGACTCCACCACTGCCCTGGGCAGCCTGGTCCAAGGCTTGACAACCCTTTCAGTGTAGAAATATTTCCTAATATCCATCCTAAACCTTCCCTGATGCAACTTGAGGCCATTTCCTTTCATTGCAGCTCAGCTCAAGGGGACGAGCACACCACTCAGTTGATTTGTTTGATCATTGTCTACATTAAAAATTCCTGATGGCACGGAAAGGAGGTTGCACTAGAAAACCTACACCTTGGGTGGGCACATGAAGAAACCACTCCTAAAGTGTTTTTTTACTATTCCAGGATCAAGAGGTTTAAACCAAACCTTTCAAGCAGTCGATGGAGTACAATCTCAAAGGTAGGATTTTTATTAATTTTTTTTTTTTTTTAATTCTACTTGTGTAGGCTTAAAACTTTCTGGCCATTCACTATTGTAACTTCAGCACCCCGCAACAGAGAATATCACGAGACTGTTTTTCTCTCTGCAAGACTATTTTTTTTCTACTCCATCATATTTTCTAACGATGATGCTTTGCTGTAACAGAACAGATTCCAAACTGTCTTTCTTTCCAACCCCTAATATTCCTGTTGTAACAAATCAAATCTTGCCAGTTTCCACTTTGAAGCTTAGAAAAAGGGACTGTAAAGAAGAAATACAGGAATACAAAGTTGACACATTCTAAGAGACTTAACCCAGGTGAAAAATGGAAGGAGAAAAGGTGGAAATGGAAGGAGAAAATGTGAGAATGGAAGAAGAAAATGGTATGGGAAGAACAAACCAAGTCAAGGGCAGAAAGGGAGAGGGGGATTTGGGGAAAAAGAACGAATTGGAAAACATCAGGACTGATCTGGCTGGAGAGGGAGAGCACGCTGACTTCTAACAGTTCCCTTACAAAGAGCTGCAGGTTATTCCATTAAATGGTCAAATGCAATATCCTGACAATTTTAAGAAAGCTCCTTGATCCATTTGTTGTTTGGTTTTATTTTTCCTTTTACAGAAGAGAATCATTGACTCATACTAACTCCTTACAGCTTTATCCAATTTTCTTTGTATGAAGAGAGGCTGCTGTTCTGAGCAGTAAAACACCACCACAATACCTGCCACGAGCAATATTTCCAATGATACAAACAAACCAGAAGCATTTGAAATATTCAGGGCAAGATGATTTTTGGGGACAGAAAGCTACAGTTGAATACCTCAGCTGAGATCATGTATCCTACCCTGACCTCCATCCTGCCTGAAGGCTTATATGCAAAAATCTCCAATACCTATTTGAAGCAATCTCCACAGACATCCAAGCCTACGAGCTATGAAATTATTCCAGGAGGATACTAAAAGAGCTTTTTATATATCCATATTATATATATAAAAGTATAAATTCATCTGAGAAACAGCCCACACCTAGAAAATACTCCTATATATTTAAGCAGGCATCACCATCTTCAGCTGATTCTGCAAATGAAAGTCTAAGGAAAAGTGAGTTTTGAGCCAGAAGACAGAAAAGCAGCAGCTCCACAGCCTGTAAACGCTGACAGATAAAATTCAAGTCAAAGCATTTGTTTGCTTTCCTGTCAGCCCTGCAAAGAAAATCGAACTTTGCTGTTCCTGGCTTATTCAGCCCCAGAGTAATAAATATTCTGAAAGGCAGATTCTGTCCTTATTTACATTCTGCTGGTCTCCTCTGGTGAGGATGGGCGAAAATAAGGCCAACATCGTGGCCAGGGGTGAATCTGCTTTGTATTCACATTGCCATGTGGATCCTACAGGATCTTAGGGACCGCCACACCAGTTCAAACCAGTGAGCTGAGTGACCAGTGCCTGAGTTTGGTGCTACTTCACATTTAAGTCCCACCTAGGTATGGAGATCCCTCAGCTCTAATCCAGCAGTTTGCTCAGCAACATCTCACACGCAGCCAAAAAGGGACATGGCCAAAAGTCAATCTGTCCAGGGCTGGATGCAACCACAGCCCCCGACACGCTGTTGTTTTCTTCAAATGTACCTTCCTGACCCCAGCATCTGCCCTGCCTCAAATTCAGCTGAAATTTCAATCTTTCAATCCAATCTCTCACCAGGGACAGCAACATCTTTCAGCTACTGCTGTCGTTAACGGCGCCTTTGACCTCTCAAAAACTACAGAATTTTCTCAGTCTTCAAAATTTACCAAAGCCTCAAATATGTGGATGGATCGAGCAGATTGTTTCTATCCTCTCCCTCTCCTCTTTGAGACCTACATTTATTGAGTGTTATAAAGTTAAGTCCTATTTTAAGGGAGCCTATAGGAGAGCTGGAGAGGAACTCTTGTCAGGGAGTGTAGGAATAGGACAAGGGGTAATGGTTTTAAAATGAAAGAGGGGAGATTGAGATTAGATATTACAAAGAACTTGTTTGGTGTGAGGGTGGTGAGAGCCTGGCCCAGGTTGGCCAGAGAAGCTGTGGCTGCCCCATCCCTGGAGGGGTTCAAGGCCAGGTTGGAGGGGGCTTGGAGCAACCTGGGCTGGTGGGAGGTGTCCCTGCCCAGGGCAGGGGGTTGGAACTCGATGATGATGTTTAAGGTCCCTTCCAACCCAAACCATTCTATGATTTTCCACAGTATTCAAAGGGTTAGAGAATTCCTGCATAAATTAGGAGCCTTGGCCTCAAAGCCATGTCTCACAGCTAATGAAGTCACACCCTTGGTGGCATGCTGTGCAGAAGCTGTGGAAGCCACTGGGAAGAGAACTGATCCATGGTTTCTAAAAACACATTGGATACAACGAAGTTTTCTTCAGCCTAAGAGCTGGAAGTCCAGAACCCATTCTCCAAAGCACAAAGTTGGACAAGGTTGCAATGAGACACTTTAATCTCCTGAGTGAGATGAGATTTCAGATACAGTTCCTCCTTGTCACATAAAAATAGCTATTTTGAGGCTCCAGCTGTGTTCCCAAACACAGATCCCCACTTGGGCTTAGCCTAACACAATTACCGAATCAAATATAGTTCCTCTGCTGATTGCTTCTTTCACACGTACACGACAATCTGTTTATCATCCCCATTTCTTTTTGCTTTGTCACACATTTAGACCATGCCTCCCTTGGGAAGGAGTGAATTTCTATGTTTGCCTCTATGGCCTTAGACATGATTCGGGGATTTATGCCCCACTAGAGTATAAGCTACTATATATTAGAATCATAGAATTGTCCAGGTTGGAAGGGACCTCTGAGATCATAGAGACCAACCATCAACCTCACTGTAATAAAAACCACCACTAACCCATGACCCTCAGCACAATGTTAACCCGCCTCTTAAATCCCTCCCAGGATGGTGCCTCAACCACTTCCCTGGGCAGCCCATTCCAAGGCTTCATAACCCTTTCCATGGAAACATTTTTCCTAATCTCCAATCTGAACCTCCCCTGGTGCTACTTGAGGCCGTTTCCTCTTGTCCCATCGCCTGTTCCTTGGGAGAAGAGACCGACCCCCCCCTGGCTACACCCTCCTTTCAGGGAGTTGGAGAGAGCCAGAAGGTCTCCCCTCAGCCTCCTTTTCTCCAGGCTGAACACCCCCAGCTCCCTCAGCCTCTCCTCACAAGACTTGTGCTCCAGACCCCTCACCAGCTCCAGCCCCTCAATGTCTTTTTTATGGTGAGGACCCAGCCATTTTTATGGACCCAACCCTCAAGGTGTGGCCTCACCAGTGCCCAGTCCAGGGGGACCATCACCTCCCAATTCCTACTCCTCACACTGTTCCTGACACAGCCCAGGATGCTGGTGGCCTTCTTGGCCATCTGGGCACACTGCTGGCAAGAATTAACAATTTTAAAAGACAGGAAACACAAACTTCAGTAACTTAAATGCCAGACAGTGATGTAAGTTTGGGAAGGCCAGATGAAAGGAATAAGCTTGGCTGAAGAGGAAGTGAGTGGTTTTATGCTACAAGCGATATTTGTTTTCCCTTTGAGCAAACTGGCTAATGATTGTGAGAGTTTTACCCTTTGCCCCACTCTTTCTTTTAATCACCAAAAATAAAGCAAACGTTTTATATGGTAAATAATGGGGGTAGGGAAATGTCCTGTGACCTAGTGATGAAGAACTAGTCAGGGAGAATGCATTTCCTCTTAAATAGCTTATAAATATTTAAAATCAATTGCAAAGAGCGTTAAAGGAAAAAAAAAAGGACACGTTCAGATCACCTCCAGGTTGTAGCCCACGTGCCCTGTGGGGCACTGTACTGTTCCCTCTTCAGAGGTGGTTACAAAAAAGCCTATGGCTACCAGAGAGAATGAAATAGTAGAAAAATTACTTGAAAATAAAAAACGTTGGCGGAGTGGAAATAGGAATCTCTGCTGAGAATAAAACATGGGACTTCATATTCTGACTAATACTGTCAAGAAGCCACTAGAGGTAACTGGAAGATCTGGCTGACCTTACTGGTTTGGAAAGAAGGGCATTTTGAGGAGGAACTAGCAGGACTTAACCCAGCCCCCTTCCCCGTGAGCTGGCCTTGCTTTCTCAGAGGTGGTTACAAAAAAGCTTACGGCTACCAGAGAGAATGAAATAGTAGAAAAATTACTTGAAAATAAAAAACGTTGGCGGAGTGGAAATAGGAATCTCTGCTGAGAATAAAACATGGGACTTCATATTCTGACTAATACTGTCAAGAAGCCACTAGAGGTAACTGGAAGATCTGGCTGACCTTACTGGTTTGGAAAGAAGGGCATTTTGAGGAGGAACTAGCAGGACTTAACCCAGGTATGCATATTGTTACATATTTTGGAAGATCAGCTTAGGCAATAACCATCAGTTACAAGGCAAAACAAAACACCTTTTGTACAACCGATAGCATCTACTTTTCATGACCCTTCCCCTTCCGCCAGCGCACCTGCAAACAACCAGTGCAGGTGTGCTCAACCCAAACTGGTACCACTCAAACTCCCCTGCCCTGAGCTGTGCCCAGCTGAGCTTGGTGCAAAACACCTGCCTGAAAAAGCAAGAAGGGGGGAGCAGAAATACCGCCAGGATCCGACAAAAACACAGCAAGGTGTCTGGGGACACGGCGGGGGGATCAGCTCTAAAGAAGGGGAGCAGATTCTGGTGGTACATTTGCATCAATTCAGATGCTCCCCATTCCAGGTAAAATATATGCACTGGTATGTAATAACTGGTAGGTACTGCCTTCACCAACTGTACTGGTATCATAGAATCGTCTAGGTTGGAAGAGATCCTTGGGATCATCGAGTCCAACCATCTCCCCTACTCTACAAAGTCCTCCCCTACACCATGTCCCTCAGCACTGCATCTAAACAGCCCTTAAACACATCCAGGGATGGTGACGCCTGTTCCAATGCCCAATCACTCTTGAACTACACGTATGTAAGATAA